TTCAAAATCTAATAATGTTTGAGAATTTATAATATCAATATCTGTTATCATATCTATGTCTGTTCCAAAAGGTATTTCATATTTTGAGATACTTTTCTTTCTTTTTTCCAATTTATCTATTATATCTTGTATATCTTTTATGATTATTGACCTTACAATTCCTTTAGCGAAATTTTCTAATAAGTTTTCTTTAAAACATTTTAATATTTCTTGTGATGCATATAATTGTTCTTGATTTCCTATCTTATCAATTTCTTTTTCAAATTTAATTTCTTTTTTATTTTTAACAACCTTTTTTATATTATATGGTCCTCTCTTATATTTGGATTTTTCCATTTTATAATTATTCATTAATAATTTTTACAAATTTTTAGAAAAATTATTTGTTAGATTTTTTAAGGACTAAAAAAGAAACTTTTTATTATATGAAGGGTTGGTTGTTAAATTTTTCCAAGGATATTTTGGGTAGTTTCAAATTTCTAAAAAAGTCAAAGGTCATTTTGGAAAAGGTTATATACTATTTGGGCCATTTTCATGTATATCCCTAAAAATAAACCATTTGTCAAAAGTCCAAGACTTTGCTGTTCTGACGTGGCGAGAAATGGTTGGCTGGTCTATGTTCCTTTTGATGAAATTAATTTTATATCTCAGTCCAATTTTAACCCATGGACTATATAAGGGCATGTTCAAAAAAGTGTGATCTATCTGTTAGTTAAGAAGTAAAAAAATGACGATTGAAATAATGAAATATGATTAAAAATTAATTTTTTTATAAAAAATTGCTACCGTGTAAGCTTTTTTTTCTACTTTTCCCATTCGCAGGATTAATTACAAAATCACGTGCAATTCAAATTAGTGTATAAATATATAAGGGTTTGTTTGATTGAAAAAATGAAATTTTGATGGAAAGAAAACGAATTTCATGGAATTGAATCGCTTAGAAATTGTTTTCCTAGGAATTGTAAATTATTATGTTTGATTGGTATAATTTTTCGCGTTGAAAATGTTAAAATAAAAGTGTTTTTTGGTGATCGTTTGATTTTGTTTTACATGAAAATTGTCAATTAAATGAGTAGAATTTATTGGTATTGTGGTAAAATTGTTTCCAATGCCAAAAAAAAAAAAAAAAAAAATAAAAAAATCTGCGGCAGTAACCGGCAAAAGCTGAAATATGGCAAGAAACTTGAAAAATAAAATTTAGGAAAAATTTTGGATATAAAACAATAAAAAGTTGGAATTCCATTTTTCATGGAAAAAGTTCCCCAATCAAACCCTACCTAAGAATTTAATTTTGAAATATTCGATTTTAATTATCAATTTGATAGGTCTAATAATTCCACTTTAATTTTGATACAACAAAATTGTAAATAAGAGTATGATATATACAATCAAATAAACTTTTGATCTGTAAATGCCTCTTAAAATGGATGCTTCATAATTATTGTCTGAATAAAAGATAACTCAATGGTGTTAATGGTAATCTTGGAGAATAATTGTTGTTGGCACATGTAGCTGAAAATTGATGAAACTGGGTAACACTTGGATTATACTATTTGATCAATTGAAGTATGTATTTAGAAGTTGAAGTCTACTTGGCCATTTGACACATTCAAAAGAAATTAAATTTCGGACGAATATATTTGTTACTTAAATTATTGTGCTCTATTAAAATACTTAACATGTCAAGGTGATGAGAATATCGAATTCCATTTTTAAGGGAATTGAATTACTCGTACTATCGTCGAGCAGCTGAATACATGCAGTAATAATGCTCGAATTACTACCTAAATATACACTTAGATCTGAGATATGGGATCCAAAGGGTGATTAAGAAAACGTGAACCTCTAATCATGACCTTAATCCAATGGTCCCAAAAGTGTCCGCATCGCCAACAACCTTTTCACAACCACTGATTGAATAGTGGGAGGGTGGTGCACAATCACCCATCTACCAGCAGAAAAAAGTGCCACTTGGAGAAGATATCAACATCATTTAGCGCATGCTTGGTAAAATTAAAAATAAATCACAAGTGCTTTTTTAGTTAGTGACATAATTTAACAAACTTAACTTACCGAATAATATTTTGTCAATAAATATATTATTAAAAATATAAAAACTAAATGAAAATTTTCGTCGAGAACAAAATAAAAATTTGGACATGAAGAAGCAGTAGGATCATGGCATGGCAAGCGCCATGTTTGGAATAGGTCAAAAAATAACTTAGAAGCCGATATGTTAGTATTTTGAAAAAAATAATATTTTATATTGGATATAACGACGATTTTTCATCGATAAGAAGGCACCATCATGATTCTAGACAATATCACTAACGACATTGATGCCAATAATTGTTGACGAATGTGTATCGCTGATTAAAATAATATGATTTTAGCAATTTTGTTTGAATCAACAACATATATTAATTTAATCAGGATCACTAACAATTATTTTGTTTATTATTAACAATATTACTATTTGTAGTAATATTGTAGTTCCTCTTGAATCACGAGCAAATATTGATTTCAATGAGAGTCGCTAATCTTCATACTGATAGCTTCTCGTCGGTGACTTAAAGCACTGTCAGTGATTCTCCGTAACATCATTGATGATATTGCTCGATAATAGTTGAAAATGTGTCGATTATCACCACCAAATGAAATTCCCATCAATTATAAATTGATTTATTAAATTTTTTATTATTATTATTCTCGAAAATGTTGTATCAGCGATTTTGCCAAGGCCTCAAAAATACTTGTGCTGCCTCTAATATTGGTATTTTTCAATGTTTTAAAAATAGGCGTAACAAAAATTGGTTTTTCAATGGTTAAAAGCCAAACCAGTTTATTAACACATGATATGTTGGTTTACCCTGCGGGTTTTAACACCAAATCCTTGATCCTTAGGTTAGGAATAGGGGTGAACATTTTTACTCGAAATCACCCGATTCATAAGTAGAATCGGACTGAACAATCGTTTGGTATGGCTTCAATTGAAATTAGTTTGCTTTCACATCTTGGAATCGAGAATTGAATGGTTGTGATCCAGGGTATCGGTTATACTTTTCATTTCTCAACGTAATTTATATCAATTCATATTGCATTCGTGATAATTGATAATTATATTTAATTTTTGAAGCATACAGAATTGGACTAAAACTAATGGTTCCATAAATAAAAGTAGGGATCTATCTATCCTAGTTCGGTCTAATTCTCATATTTTCACCTCATGTAGAACCAGTGGATCTATCTTTACAATTGTCAATAAGAATCGATTCGATCTAGTTATTGGGGAACTCATATAGGACTCCTCAATGTCTACCCCCAATTACAATTGTTCTAAATATTCTACATGTTCATTAGCAAGAGGTTAGACCATATTTTCTCCTTCTAAGTTCGTAAATTATTTCTTTTTTGATATGTATTTATTAAATATCAATATTATGAAAATTAGATCAAAAGGATGTCTCAAATGAGAAAAACATCAGTCATCGGTATGAATTAGGTAAAAACCCGAAAACCCGAAAATATGATTAATATTGATTGTTCGACTTTGACTTACACTTAGATTAGTCAAACAAGCTCTTAATTCTTGACCTTTTACTTTTCCAAGTAGGAATTTTATATGCAAGTTTTAAGTTTGAGCCAAATTAAAGAACCATATTAAATGATGTAAACCGGTTTGAGTTAGCATTTTAACAGCATTGTTGATTCCTTGTTCTTCATCTATGTTTATTATTCCAACGCAGATGTTAATCAGAGAAACCCTTATCTCAAATTGTTTTATAATGGCAGCTTTTGTTGATAACTTCAAAGAGCCCAAAAACTATTTTCCTCCACTCAAAACACACCCCTATCTACCAAGGAGAGGACACTAGTCTTTGTATTTCTTTATAACACTTCGTGAACATTTAACCCACTCACCCTTCTACCTCTCACTCCCTCTCTCCATCTGGTTGAAGTCCAGTTTTTGCAGTAATCATTCAAGACGTTGTCTTGCAGTTATCAGGTGGGTACTTCTCTTTCATCCATTTGATGTTTTGATGATTTCAAGAAAGAGGAAAATAAGTGCTTTCCTTAGAGATTTTGGTGTTTTTTAGTGGTGCGTGCGGAAAGTTTACTTATTGATGTTATTTTCGTATCTTCGACCTTTATATTTGCTATTTACCTGTATGAACTCAATCCATTGAATGGTCTTTTTAATGTAGTGGCTTTAATTTCTTCACTGAATTATAGTTTGATTAACGACTTACTGGCCATTCAGAATGAATATACTGCACTTATTTGAATTTAAGAGGTGTAAGAGTAGGTTGCGATGCGCTTGGTGGTCCTGCTGCTCATTGGAAGAGGCCAACGCACGCGGACTTTTTTAAAGGCCAGGATGGAAGCATCAGGACCTCTGCAAAGGGGATGATCCGTCCCATTTTATATCCCTACATGGATCATCAATGATTCAATTGCTATTTTATAGTGTGAATTAACCAAAATTAAATTCTTTGTACGTAATAAATAAGTTGCTTAACTCTTTTGAACAATATTTTGGTCAATTCCATTTGTTGTAAATTGTAATATTTTAAACACAAAGAAATCTTTTCATTTTCAAATTTGTAATCTCGACAACTTGTAGATACAGATTAAGAATAATATGCAACAGCAATGAAATGGTAATAAATCAGCCTAAAGATTCATAGTGGACGTCGAAGTGAGTTTCTCTTGAAGCAGTAACGCATTGATCTCCAGGCAAGGCGGAAGGTCCATCTTTCAGGGCCAGGGATGAGAATCAATTGAATGCTAACATTGGGCCAGCGCTAATAGGCTGAGGTGTAAGCCGTTTATTGGAGCCTGGCCCTGATTGATCAGCTTAACCTGGGAAGTGCTGATAATCAAGGTAGGAACCTTGTTGTCAAATGGATGTTTGGGACTCCTAGCCCCGTGACCAAAGACGGGGTTCATTTCCCACTGAGTGATAGGTTGACTCTTTTCTTTAGTAGCCAATGCAATAATCCTGACAAAATAATTGAGCTTTAGTTTCTTGTAGTGTATGGAGGTACTGCAAGATTAGATGCATGATGAAAGACGCTAACAATTCTAAATTCTAACCAACAAAAGTAAATAAAAGATCAGCATAAGGGGATCAAAACGATTGATTCATCTTGTGTGCTCCTCCATATATCTTTTCTTGAATGGTTTTCTTTTTATAAATACCGTGTCTTCTTTAAAGGCAAAGTTACATTAGACAGGACCAACCTAATAATTCTTTCTCATGCCCAATATGGTAAGCATGATCCTACATTATAATTTTACTTCATGCAATTAAATACTTTTTTGTGTAGCATTATAATATTTACTTCATCAAATGGAAGTTTCTTATTCACACCGTTTTCAACTTTTCAGGAGGGAGGTTGAAAATGGCACAGATCTTGGCTCCTTCTGCACAATGGCAGATGCGAATTGCAAAGAACAGTGCAGATGTGAACCCATTGACAATGAAGACATGGAGCTCTATTGTTATGAAACAAAACAAGAAAGGTTCTGTCAAAAGTTCGGGAAGATTTAAAGTGTGTGCTCTCCAGTCTGACAATAGCACTATCAACCGTTTAGAACAGCTGCTAAATTTGGATGTAACTCCATACACTGATAAGATCATTGCTGAATATATTTGGTATGTATTCTTTCCAAAAGTTCCATATTGCATGTTACCTTTCAGGAAAAAATGTTCCATATTGCATGTTAAATTCCTTATATTGACATCCTTTTTTGTTTGTTTATATATTTTAGGGTAACCAAATAAAAAGTTTACTGAAAAAGTGAAATCATAAATGTCGTACCAGTCAATATTTTTTTTAAAGCTAACTGTAAAATTCTTTTGTGGTCTTGCTTGTGCACCATGACCATGGTTTTTCTTATCCATAACAGGATTGGAGGATCTGGAATTGATGTGCGTAGTAAGTCAAGGGTACGCACTGATGATTTGTTTCTGTATCTGCAACGCGTTGGTAATAATAATGCATCTGTTCTCATATGTATTTTCTTGTTCTAATTTCCAGACTATTTCAAAGCCAGTCAAACACCCTTCTGAGCTTCCAAAGTGGAACTACGATGGATCGAGTACAGGACAGGCACCTGGAGAAGACAGTGAAGTTATCCTATAGTAAGATCAAGTGCACATGGCGTTCATCCACGTTTCTAAGTTACTTTCTCCTATTGAGCTTAAATCTATTTGAATTTTCTCTTCAGCCCCCAAGCGATCTTCAAAGATCCATTCCGTGGTGGTAATAACATCTTGGTGAGTTTATCCATTTGGCCATTTGTGTTTCATTTTGCTTGGCTACTATTGAATTTCACGGAAATGTGTTCTTATGTACTAACATCTTGGTGAGTTTATCCACTTGGCCATTTGTGTTTCATTTTGCTTGGCTACTATTGAAATTCACGGAAATGTGTTCTTACATACTTGAGGCACACTTCTCAAATGTAATAAAAATGCGGCTTGAAACAGGTCGTATGTGATGCATATACACCAGCAGGTGAGCCAATTCCAACAAACAAGCGACACAGAGCTGCTCAGATTTTTAGTGACCCGAAGGTTGTTGCTGAAGTCCCATGGTAATCTTTCTTTCAATTTTTTCTGTCCCACAAAAATCTTTCCTCACATTTCCAAAACAGACTTGAAAGGCTTAGAAAAGAATCTGAATATTTTTTTCTAACATTTTATTTTCAACTTGAATAAGGTATGGTATTGAGCAAGAGTACACCTTGCTCCAAACAAATGTGAAATGGCCACTGGGTTGGCCTGTTGGAGGCTACCCTGGTCCTCAGGTAATAATGTTTCTGCAGTTAGGCAAATTTTAATATTCCGTATAGAATTTTGTTGCTTACATCAACTTTTTTACCCCTTTCTGTTTTTCAAAGGAAGAGATTATGCCGATAGATAAACAGAATGCTCTTAAATCTACGAAATGGACAAATTTTACAAGTTCTAATGACATATATGACCAATTATTTGACAATTTCACTGTTTGGGGAATTTTTAGGGCCCTTACTACTGTGGTGCTGGGGCAGACAAGTCATTTGGTCGTGACATATCCGATGCTCACTACAAGGCTTGCCTGTATGCTGGAATTAATATTAGTGGCACCAATGGAGAGGTTATGCCTGGACAGGTCTGTTTCTTCAACTCTTCGTCTTTCTTGAATGAACATGAATATCAGTTGCAATCCTCTAATAAAACATTGGCGACCTGTTTGATGCTTTCTACAGTGGGAATTTCAAGTCGGTCCCAGTGTAGGAATTGAAGCTGGAGATCACATCTGGTGTGCTAGGTATCTACTTGAGGTATGTTTTTGTTAGTTTATATACTTGTTAAAGATCTTGTTTCTACAGTATTCATTCTGATCTGCTATAATACACTGACATGGACACGAGTATCCGACACGTGTAAACTAACACGTTTTTTAAAAAAAAAAAAAATACTGACATGACATGTCGACATGTTGATTAAATTCTTTAAACTTCTTTATTTATAGATAAATTTATTTTTATATTTGTTATTAATTTTCTTGTTGAAATCTTTTAAAAACGAGCATACTTATATGTTATTTACTTATAACTTTGGATTAAAAATATTTAATATTTCTAATAAAAAAGAAAAATGATCACGTTAGAATGTCCAAGGAGTGTCGATATCCGACACGTGCTGACACGTTACCCTAATTGAAGTGTCTGAGCAATAAAGCCGATCTACTATTTTATTAGAATTACATGAAGTACATAGAGGGTCATTTCAACTTATATATCAACGTAAACAAAATGGGGGTCATTCTTATCATGAAACCATAAGGGCACGTACTGTATGCAGTATTAGATAGGGCTAGACGATATAGCTGTTTTTTCGACCTTAATATTATCTATTGTCTTCTACTATTCAATCCACATTATCAAACATTCCATAAGTGCATGATAGAGCTGTAGTATTTTTTGGTTTCTTGATTGAAGTACGTCTTTTGAGTCAACACAGAAAATCTGCATGAGCATGTTTTGTTAATATTTGTGGTTCCATCTTAAAAGGCTCACCTTACAAAGAGGAGTAGCTAAAACCCTTATAAGTTGGTATATATTTCTATCCTTATTCGATGTAAGATTTTATCTTTTAGCATGTTCCCGCAAGATGGTGACTCGTTTGAGCAAGCCAATTTTGAAATTCGTGTGCTTTTTTTGAGTTTTAATCGGATTGAATTGCTCGTTGGAGTTTAGTGGGCTCTGATATCATGTTAAGATTTGGGGGTCCATTTTAAAAGGTCAATCTTGTTAAGAAGAGTAACTCAATTCTTTATAAGTTGGTCTATATTATCATCTTTATTTGATGTGGGAATTATCTCTTAACATGCTCTCACGAGATGGTGGCTCGTTTGAGCAAACCAATTTTGAAATTTGCATGCTCATTTTATTAGTCTTAATCGGATCAAATCGCTCTTTTGAGTTTAATGGACTCTGATACCATGTAAAGATATGATATTCTATTTTAAAAGGTTAACCTTATTAAGAGGAATAACCCGAACCCTTATAAGTTGATCTATATTTTCATCTTTATTCGATTTATCCCTTAATACGTTTATGATGTTTTCACAATTAAATATCTTTATAGAGAATTACTGAACAAGCTGGAGTTGTTCTCTCACTTGATCCTAAACCAATAGAGGTATTGTTGACTTCGTTTCAATAAATTTATTTTTCTTGATTTGTAAGATATGGGAAGTCTAATCTACGAGTACACTGGAATTTCCAGGGTGACTGGAATGGCGCTGGATGCCACACCAATTACAGGTATTCAATTATTTTGTTAATATTAGGTCAAGTATAAGCCTAATGTGTTCCAGTATACAAGTTCAAGACAAGTCGACAACTTCAATAATATGCTTGCACCTTTCACCAAGATGCAATAATTTGTCTAATTATATGAATTCACAGCACAAAGACTACGAGAGAAGAAGGAGGATTTGAAGTAATAAAGAAAGCAATTTTGAATCTCTCTCTTCGCCACAAAGAGCATATCAGTGCTTATGGAGAAGGAAATGAGAGACGGTTGACAGGAAAGCATGAAACTGCCAGTATTGACACATTTTCATGGGTATAACCAATAGTTCTAAACGTAGCATCTTTAGAAAGATAACTTGTTTTCTGACTTCTTACTTATATTCTCTGCCAAAACTTGCAGGGAGTTGCTAATCGTGGTTGCTCAATTCGTGTGGGGCGTGACACTGAGAAGGAGGGCAAAGGTACCCATGATTAAAATTACCCTTAATTGCTCTTTCCACACCTCCCGGATTTTGGTGACAGGCAATATCAAAAAAATAAAAATAAAAATTCCTGCCTGTCGTCTTGCCCTGTCCAATTATTCATGTGAAACATGTGCTTAGTGTACTAATGAGTTCATCATGCTTCTACTATACAAAACACCGTGATTCATTAATTTTGAGAGAACCAATAGTTTGACAGAGAAGAGTAGATTTATTTACAAGCAAAATAAAGAAAAATTACATCTTCACTGTCAACAGATCCGACTATCACACTACTGATAAGATGTTCCTCAAACCCATGAGTTTTGAATGGTAAAAATGACAAAAGTTCTTGTTGAACCACCTTATCTAAAGCTTAAATTCTTAGAGATTGAATTTGTTTTTTTCATCGAACTTGTAATACGTGCACAATATTTATAAATGGGCAATAATGAGAAACAAATCAGGATCTTTTTTGTGATCTGATAGAAACACCTTGTCTTAAAGTTCAAATTTTTACAGAGATGATAATTTTTTTTATTTAAATTGTTTCTTCACGAGTTCTATTGGAAGCCATCCTGCTTATCAATCACGGTTATTTTCTTTCGTTCTAGGTTACCTGGAAGATAGACGTCCAGCTTCAAACATGGATCCCTACGTCGTGACTTCATTACTTGCCGAAACTACTCTATTATGGGAACCAACACTCGAAGCTGAAGCCCTTGCAGCACAGAAGCTGTCGTTGAAGGTGTAGGCCGTTTGATGTTAAGGTACCTGTGCTTGAAGAGAATACATGGCACCATTGAGTTCACAGGCACAGAGTTCGTTCCCTTTTCATCGATCCCTTTCAAGAAATCTTTGTAAATAAGGAACCTAAAATTAGCAATGGCCACCCTTGAGCTTGAAAGATGGTCCCTTGAATTTGAGATTTGTAGGGATTTTTTTTTAGCTTTCACGAATATCTAGGAGAAGTTTCAAGCTATTTTGCTTTGCCATTTGCAATGGCATTGCTGTGAAGACTTATTTATTTATTGTCGCAAGTTTAATCATTCAATAAATTCTTCTTCAATCAAGAATGTCTTAAATTTTAAATGTGCGTTCTTTAACATCTTTAGTTTAGATCAAGTCGTTCGATGTGGAATTAGAGCAGGTAAAAATCTTTATTAAAGCCTTATCGTTCTAGAAATTGTGCACTTATCGTACGTTCAAGAAAAAAAAATTGACATGCATGTGAGGTGTATTGAAAATTAAATATATATTAATTATGTATTTTTATATGATAGCTTAAAGTCAGCCGGCCTTCCGGAATCGGGGTGGGGTTAAGCAACCGGGACGGGACGGGATCCATGCTCCCGCCTGACTATTATATTTTATTTGTTTTATTTACAATTTAGACGTTATTTTAAAAAAATATAGAAAAATTAAATGAATAAATAACGAGACGGTAAATGGGGATACACCTTGACTCTTAGAATCCCAGCAGAGCAAGGATGGGAGGTTGCCCAGCCCCATCATGCCTCACCTCGCCCAGTTCAATATAGTATTGGAGCAAGCAAAACACTTGAATTCAAATTTCGCTATCACTCATATATCAATTGTACACACGTCGAGCATTACATAAAAAAATAAATTTGATTTCAAAGTAAGGGAAAGTGTTGTGTCGAAGTCAATTTAAATAAATAAGTTTATTATAACTAACAACTTAAACTTTTAAATAAAGTATGATTTAGAAATATGGAGGGTAGACCAACATGACATGACATTGTTGTCGTTGAAGATCTTTCAGTAGATCTAGCAATCAAATTCTTTGGGAACAAAGCTTGACGTCGTATCAGGCCAAGGATAAGCAAATTTTTTGTCTTACTGTACAAATAAATAAAAAGGCAATTTACTACAACATCTATAAATTGTTTTAATTCGAAAGACAGGAAATATTCGTTTCCCTTTCATGAGGCTAAACTCAGAACAAAACCAAGGAATTCTAGCCACTTCTTTGAACTGAAGATACTCTTTGCGATCCCTATAAAATTATCATTTCATATTGGGCCTTTTTATTGGACGTGGACGAGGCCCATTAAAATTTTATCGAAGTTAACAGAGGCTCAAGTAGCAGCTAAGTAAAACCCCCAAACCGAGAATCTCCAGAGGCTAGCTAAAGTGCCTTCAAATATACCTATCGAGACCCCAAGAGGTCCAGCTGAAGTGCCTATAGAGGTACCCATTGTTATGCCTATAAAATTACCTCATGATGGGCTTGGACTTAGGCCCGCTTTGCATAACCTTCTTGGTCCAGTTCAATTCATCTGTATATATGTTTATTGACAAGTGTAGTTTTTGTTATAAAAGTGAAGAAAAGAGAATAGAGCATAGAAAAATCGATAGATTTGTGTGTTTTATTAAGAATCAAAACCCTGTATTTATTGGGCAGAATTAGGGATATAATAGTAATTATTGCTAGAGCTGTAGGAGTGTAATTGTCATTCACCTCTAAATCCTAATAATATTTTCTTTTACAACACTCCCTCTTGAATGATACATTACAAAATATGTGTCTCGTTAAAACATTGTTTGATAAAAATCCAATGGAAAAAAAAAATCAAACGAAGGAAAAATAGTACAGTTATTTTGGAGTACTAAAAATAAATGCTGCCTCATTAAAACCTTACTAGGAAAACCCAGTGTGACAAAATCTAAGCTAAGGAAAAAGAGTACAATTACTCCCCTGATGTTAATCACTGAAAATCTTTGAGTCGATGCATTCCAATCTCATGAATTAATTTCTTGAATGTAGATGTTGGTAGTGCTTTTGTGAATAAATCGGCCACATTGTCACTCATTTGTTGGATATCGATATCGCCATTCTTTTGAAACTAATGTGTATGAAAGAATTTTGGAGAAATATGCTTCGTCCTATCACATTTGATATAGTCTCCTCTAAGTTGTGCAATACAAGCTGCATTGTCTTCATACAAAATTATTGGACTATCCTTTGTTTAAATTAATCTGCATGATGCTTGGATATGATGGGTCATATTTCTCAACCATACACATTCTCGACCTGCTTCATGAATTGCAATAATTTCAGAATGATTTGAAGATGTAGTTGTCAAGGATTGCTTTACAGATCTTTATGTTATAGCCGTTCCTCCACGTGTAAACACATAACCTATTTGTAATTTAGTTTTATGTGTGTCAAATAGATAATCTGTATCTGCATATCCCACTAAAACAGATCCCGACTTTTGAGAATAAAATAATCTCAAATCAATAGTACCCTTTAGATAACGAAAAATATGTTTAACACCATTCCAATATTTTTGAGTTGGTGTAGAGCTATATCTTGCCAGGAGATTTACAGAAAAAGTTATATCGGATCGAGTACAATTTGTAAGATAAGTTAATGCTCCAATTGAAATCTTCAAGTGGATGAAATAGATCTTTTTTCACATCAAGCGATCGAACCATAAGTGATGCTAATGGATGTGCATTATCCATGAAAAACGTTTTAAAACTTTTTCTGTATACGTAAATTGGTGAACAAATAATCCATCTGCGAAATGTTCAATTTGCAATCCAAGACAAAATTTGATTTTTCCTAAATCCTTCATCTCAAATTCATTTTTCAAATAGTCAACAGTTTTGTTGAGTTTTTCAGGAGTTCCAATTAAATTTAAATCATCAACATAAACTGCCACAATTGCAAATCCACTATTTGTTCGTCATTTTTATAACCCTCATTCAACAAATATTCGCTAAGACTATTATACAACATGTGTCTAGATTGTTTTAATCCATATAATGATCTTTGTAATTTAATTGAGAACATAGTTCTCGGACATGTATCGTTTGTTCCTGGTATCTTAAGTCCTTCGGGGACTTTCATATATATGTTACTATCAAGTGAACCATACAAATATGCAGTTACTACATCCATAAGGCGCATATCAAGATTTTGTGATACGGTCAAACTAATTAAGAATCTAAAAGTGAATGGTGTCCATTACGAGAGAATATATTTCCTCATAATCAATTCCTGGTCTTTGTGAGAAATCTTGAGCTACTAGTCGGGCCTTGTACCTTGTGATTTCATTATTTTCATTTCTCTTTCGTACAAAGGCCCATTTATATCCAATAGAGATTACATTTTCAGGTACTCGAACCATAGGTCCAAACACTTTTCGTTTCTCCAAAGAATTCAATTCCGCCTATATGACTTCTTTCCATTTTAGCCAATCATTTCTATTTTGACAGTCTTTAACCGACTGTAGTTCAGGGTTCTCATTCAGTATAATCTCAAGAGCCACATTAAAGACGAAAATATTGTCTATAACAACATTATTTCGTTCCCATAATTTATGAGATAACATATAATTTATTGAAATCTCATTATTTTCAGACACTTGTGGTTCTTCAGGAACTGTATTTTCAATATCTGATTGATCAATCTTTTCTAATGTAACTTCCTCCGAAATTTTTGGTTGGTTTTTCTCATGTACATTTTTTTGGAGGTACAGAGTCTTTTGAACCAACTGGTTGACCACGCTCTAGCATATTTGAGATTCATTTCTTACAACAAATTGTCCTACATGGACATCAATTTTTGCTGAAATATTTTTTGTTGAAATATATGATTTTGTCACTTTTCTTGTGTCAACAAATATACCAGGTAATTGATTTGCAACTCTTTGCAAATGAATGATTTTTTCAATTTCTTGCTCACATTGATTGCTATGGGGATCAAAATGAGATAGAGTTATTTCATTCCAAGAAATTTTACCTTGTTTTTCAGGATATAGTTTTTCCCCTCCTAAAGTTGGGAAAATCATTTCATCAAAATGACAATCTGCAAAACGTGCAGTAAATAAATCACCCGTTAAAGGTTCATAATACCTAATAATTGATGGTGAATCAAAATTCATATAAATTCCAAATTTTCGTTGAGGACTCATTTTAGTATGTTGTGGGGGGGTGAAATAGGAACTTGGACAGCACAACCAAAGACCCGTAGGTGAGAAATATCAGGTTCATAACCAAATGCCAGTTGCAAAGGTAAATATTGATAATAGGCAGTTGGTCTAATACGAACCAATGATGCAGCATGTAGTATGACATGACCCCAAACAGAAGTTGGGAGTTTTTTCATAAGTAATGGTCTAACAATAAGTTGTAGACGCTTAATAAACAACTCTGCCAAACCATTTTGGCATATTTGAGATTCATTTGCTACAACAGATTGTCCTACAGAGACATCAATTTTTGCTGAAATATTTTCTGTTGAAACATATGACTTTGTCACTTTTCTTGTGTCAACAAATACATCAGGTAATTGATTTGCAATTTTTTGCAAATGAATAATTTTTTTAATCTCTTGCTCACATTAATTGTTACGAGGATCAAAATGAGATAGAGTTATTTCATTCCCAAGAAATTTTACATTGTTTTTCAGGATATAGTTTTTCCCCTCCCAAAGTTGGGAAAGTCATTTCATCAAAATGACAATCTACAAAACGTGCAATAAATAAATCACCCGTTAAATGTTCAAAATACCTAATAATTGATGGTGAATCAAAACCCACATAAATTCCAAATTTTCGTTAATGACCCATTTTATTACGTTGTGGGGGTGAAATTGGAACTTGGACAGCACAACCAAAGACCCGTAGGTGAGAAATATCAAGTTCATAACCAAATGCCAGTTGCAAAGGTGAATATTGATAATAGGCAATTGGTCTAATACAAACCAATAATGCAGCATGTAGTATGACATGACCCCAAACAAAAGCTGGGAGTTTTGTTTTCATAAGTAATGGTCTAGCAATAAGTTGTGAACGCTTAATAAACAACTCTGTTAAACCATTTTGTGTATGGACATGCGCAACTGAATGTTCAATTACAATTTCGATTGACATACAATAATCATCGAATGCTTGTGATCTAAATTCACCAACATTGTCAAGTCGAATAGTTTTAATTGAGTAATCAAGAAATTGCACTCGTAATTTTATAATTTAAGCAAGTAGTTTAGCAAATACTACATTCATAGTAGAAAGTAGGCAAACATGTGACCATCTGGTGGAAGAATCAATTAATAC